TGTCTAAGTAAAATGTGATTTTTATTGTATTGGACTTTGAGTATTAATTAATGTACATATTGTTTAAGTAGATATTTGATCCTTTTGAGAAATATTACTTTGTGGAACACATAAAAATTACGAAAATTTAATATTATAAAAGGGTCGGGTTAATGGGTCGGGTATTCGTTGATTCGGTGGATATGGGTATGAATTCGACTATTCAAGACCCTGAGGGTTATTGGAGCGGGGCGGGTCATGTTTTTATTTTTTTAAACGGGTTTGGATCAATGGTGATTCGCGCCAAACCCGCCCCATTGACATGTCCCTAACCTTGAAGCTTGTTCTTGAAGATCTAAAAAATACGAGTGGACATGAACGATGATTAAAAATTAAAAACCCATATGAGTAAACTTCGCAACAACATACAATGTTACAAATTACACTCTGAGTCCTTTGACTTATTTCCATTAAACCTTTTCAACCATTTCTTTTGTGAATTTGTAAGATGAGATATTGAAGTAAGAAAAGATGGATGTTTTTCAGATGATGAGCCTCTTTGAGATGGAAGTTCAGCAGGAAGTGCTGAAGCTGTGCTTGTTAAGGCGTTTAGTACAAGAAATGCAAGAATGGGAGAAAGATCCAAAGTCCCTCCAAGTGGTGGAATAACCCCGCGAAAAATATTTAAATATGGATCGCATAAAGTGCTGTAAAAAACAAAAGCATAAAACCAAAATTAACAAATGTTAAATTTAAAACTAGTGCAATAATTAATAAAAAAAATGAAAGTAGAATGTTGTAATGGAGAGAAATGAAAGTGGGTTGTTATAATAGAAAGAAATGAAAGTATGTTGCTATTTATTGTATCTAGTGTTTTTTATAATAATAATAATAATACCTGAGGGGGTTCACAATGAGTGGAGGAGTGTTTGGAAACCAGGTAAGAACTAGCCGAGCAACCAACAATGAGTTGTAAATATTCAAAAAATTTAGAATTCCATTCGATACCACAAGCCCTGCCAATGAATCTCCAGGAAGAATCGCTGCAAAATTGTGATTCGAGAGATTGTTTGATTTCATGTGGCTTCTAAAATTAATCTGAAAGTATAATACACACAAAAGGTGAAGTACATGTGATTCGTTGTATTTAGCCCTAAATTTTGTTGAGAAAATGATGACACATTGGAGAAATAGAAGGAAAAAATGAATGAGGGTGAACAAGTAAAGGATCAAGACTTAATAGATAAAGTCTCCTTTCTTTGATTTTATCTGTTAAGTCGTTCTTTCTGTATTGAGGGGTTGTCTGATAGTTGTTATTGAGTCAGATCTGGTCTAAAGTCTTCTGACTAAATCTACATCTGACTGAAATCATGTTGTCATACTTACTCGGTCAGCAATATTTTTTAGCCGATCGGGTAAGAGCTAAATTTTTGCGAAACAAATGGTCAGACTGCTGACTGAGTTAGAGGTTACCTCTTATTGACTAGTAAGAGGCAACACAAACAGCCCCTAAGTCAAAAATAAACACTCATATATAGTTATCAGATTAACTCATATATCCCTTTAAGTTCATTAAGTCAAAAATTAACAACATCTTAATCTATATAAACAAGCCATCTTTCATTAAATTGATAGAGAATTCATGATGATCCTTCAGGATAAAAACTATCAAAGAAGAAATTAACATATCCAAACATTTGTCTCTAATTTTCTACGATTGGAAACATGTAATTCCTCTCTACCAAGGTAAATTATGCCCTTTTGGTGAAATGTAAATTCTTCAAACGTTAATTGTAAAAAAAGAACAGAGTATAATCAAATTAACCACGACTATGAGTATGAACTCGACTGAATTACGAATAGGTCTATTAGTTGTGAAGCAAAAACACCCTGAATTGTATTTAGCAAATTGTAGAACAGCGGCATTGGTTACGAAGAAACGAATTACAAGCATTAGTTATAGAAGCCTAAAGGGTAAAAATATTAAAATACCTGGCAGAATTTATGGTATTGAGAGGGGGCAGAATGCAATTTGGTGAAAAGGGGATTGTTGGAAGCAAAATGATGAAGATCACGGAGACATTTATCAATGGAATTATGGAAATTACGAACGAAACTATCGGGTGATGGAGTGAGTATTTTTTGGAGATTAAGAATGGGGTTTGTGTTGGGATGAAGTTGGGTGGTGATGAGAGATGGGGATTTGAAGAACACGAGTGACGAGGGGCTGAGAATGGAGAGAGGGAGATCTAATTTCGTCAATTTCCCGTTGGATTTATGATATGTGCATAATTAATCATATGTTTAACATATATTTCTATTCATTTTTGGCTAATTATATGCATA